GTCGCGGTGGCCGGCGGCAGTGGTTACAAACAGCGGCACCTCCAGAGCGTGGGGGGGGTGGTGTTGTCTCATACAATCGACACCCACCCCCTCTGTCTCTCTGTGTGTGTGTGTGTCTCTTTTGTCTTTGTATGCGATGGGGAGGGGTATGAGAAAAAAAAAAAGCTTTCGCCACACACAAGACAGGAAGGGCGTCCAAGAACGCTGAAACTGGACAGCACTATCTTACACACACACACACACACACACACACACACACACACACACACACACACACACACACACACACACACACACACACACACACACACACACACACACACACACCTCCATCGCGCTGGTCTTTCTGGCTGTGCTGGCTGGTTGCCTGCTGGGTGATGTAGTCGACCGCCCTCTGCGTCCACAGGTCGCCCGACCAGGAGCACTGCGCATAGTCGTGGCCGCACGCCTGCGGCGTAGCGTTTCGGTTGGCCTGGATGGTCACGTTGTGCTCAGAGTCGTACATCCACGCAGGGTAGTAGTTGTAGCACTCAATCTCGCTGCTCTGGCCATAGTACATGTCGAACCCCTGGCGCGTGGGGAACCCGTCCCCAATGGGGTGCGGCAGTAGCGGGTTGCCGTCAAGGCCCCACTTGCCAATGGCGGCGGTCGCGTAGCCGGCCTCGCGCAGCACGTGCGCCACAGTGATGGAGCTGTTGCCCAGCAGGCGCGCCTCGCTCGACACCTCCTTGTGGCCCGTGTGGTAACCCGTCATGAGCGACCACCTCGACGGCGCAGACACGCTGTACCCGGTGTACGCGTCTGTGAAGGTCATGCCTTGTTCCGCCAGCATGTCGATGTTCGGCGTCTTTAATCTCCTGCATGGCAACAACGGGTGATGAGTGATGGTGGGTGGTGAGGATGGGCGATGGTGATGGTGGGTGGTGAAGCAACAGGATGGCGACAGCGCATTCACACGCACACGCACACATACATACATACACAGAGATACATACACACACACAGATACACACACAGATACACGCACACATACACACACACACACACATACACACACACATACACACACACACACAGAGATGTGCACAACACGCACTTTGCTTTTGGCTGCGGGTTGGGATAGACGCCCACGTCTCCAATGCCAAGGTCATCTGCCAGGATGAGCACAATGTTTGGTCGCTGCTGCTTCGACTCTGCCACACCACCACTCACCACCGTCACCATCCCTGCCACCACCACCACAACGCACGCCCAACACCCCCACATGACGCTCTTTGTCATCATCATCATCACGAGACAATCAACGGCGATGATGATGTTGTTGATGAGATTTGATTTGGTGGTCAAGCAACAAGGAAGCAAGCAGGCAACAAGGAAGCAAAAGAAGAACAAAGCAGCAGCAACAAAGCAATAAAGCACATAGCACAACACAAAGCACAGGTAGCACACACACACACACACACACCCATGGCACGTGCATGCTAGGAGATGGTGCAGGCTTCGAGGTTACAGAAAGCAAGAGACGAAGAAGAAGAGGAGGAAGAGGGAGAACCATCCGGCAAGGACGAGCAGGAGATGCGGTCCAGCTTGTCGTGAATGCGAAGTGCTGCTGCGCGTGTGTCTGCGTCGGTGTTGCTGTCCTGTGCCACCGTTTTGGCGACGTCGATGGCCCGCGGCGCGTGCGACAGCCCGAGCATCTGGGACAGGACGCTGCTTCCCGTGTTGCCCTTCATCTCCAGCGCAATGTCGGCGCCGGAGGCAACAAGCTCCTCCACAACTTCCTCATGTCCGAACTGCGTGGCAATGTGCAGCGGCGTCACGCCGCGCACGTCAATGGCGTTGACGTCCGCGCCCTTGGCCACCAGCGCCTTGACGTGCTCCAGCATGCCAAACTCCGCCACCGTGTGCAGCAAGGTCGTGCCGTCCACGTTGCCTGTGAAGGGGAACTGGCCTGCGCGAAGCAGGGCCTCAAACTCGGCAATGTTCGTCCGCACCGCAAGGCCGCGCAAGCCGGGGAGCTGGGACTTGTCGTGCACAAAGGGATCTGGCCCGGTGCCGCTGCCGGCGCCTCCTGCGCCTCTGCCGGTGGCACTGGAGTACTGCTGGTGTGCGCGGTGCAAGCTTGGGTTTGCGGGCTCGTGCCTGCAGCACTGGCCATCGCACCCGCTCTTCTTCTGCTGGCCCCACATGCCGCGTGTGTTGTGTTGCGTGTGTTGTGTTGCGTGTGTTGTGTTGCGTGTGTTTGTTGCTTGTTTGTTTGTGCGACACTAGAATGGGCGAGAGAGGACGCGGTGGAGGTGAGGGGGTGGCAAGTGGTGGAATGGATGGAGGGTGTGAAGGGGGTGGAGGTGGAGTGGAGAAACAAGCAAACAACAAGCAAGAGAAGAGATGAGGCGATATCCACACACACACACACAGCGGGCTGTCGTGGAAATATGGCTGATATCTTTGTACAAAAGACGTTTCTTGCCAACCCCGGCTGTTGAAAAAGGACAAACACAACAGACGAGCAGCAGGGAGAGGTGTGGAGCAGGGAAGACAGCAAGACGCTCGTGCAAGAAAGACAGACAGACGGGGAGAGTGTGTGAGGGAGAGAGGGATCAAGACAAGAGGAGAGGACAGGGAGCAGCAGTTGCAAACGTGGAGGACATCCCAAACAGAGAGAACCCGTGACCAGGAAAAGACGCCCTCTGTGCCCACAAGATGTCGCGCCGACGGTCGTCGATGGACTTGCTGGACGATGACAGCGATGCTGATGATGGCACGGACCTGTTTGAGGCCAACACCGGCAACAAAGAGCTGGACAAGAAGGTGAAACAGGCCGAGAAGAAGCTCCTCAGCGTTGAGGCAGAGCTGGAGGCCAGCGAGAACAGGGCCAAAGCCCTCTCCGACCACTTTAAGAATGTTCAGCAGGAGATCCAGCACACCCAGGTGCGGCGGCTGTGCGTGTGTGCAGTGTGTGTCTGCGTCTGCGTGTGTGTATTTGTCCGTATGTCTGCCTATGTGGTGGTGTCTGTATGTCTGCCTATGTGGCGGTGTCTGTTTGTGCGTGTGATGCATGTGTGTCGGTGAGTGTTGACAGTATATCATTCGCACCACCTCATGCGTGTTGTGTTGTGTATCATTGCAGGCTCTGCTGCAAGCAAAGAAGCGCGAGCACGGCAATGAGTCGCACCTCATCCAAATGTGTAAGTTGGACTGTCGAGTGCGTTCATGCGAATGAGCGAGTGGGGATGTGTGTAGGTGTCAGCGTGGATGGGTGCTTGTGGGACACTCGCACTTTGGCCTATGAACATGCACACTGTGCTCATGCCACGTGACCACATGCGCACAGGCCAACAAACAGAGCGGCAGCTGCAAAAGGAGATAACACGCGTGCAGCAGGAAGTGAAGACCATCACAGACCGCATCAACAACAACCAGAACAGCATCCTCAAGGCCAAGCAGACCCTCGACGACATCAAGGAGGACATGAAGTGGGACGAGACAGAGCTCAACAAGTGGATGGTGCGTGTGAAGCGGCAGGGACAGGGATAGCATAACATGGGTCGTTGTCTCGATATGTTGTACATGAAGTGACAGGGAGAGAGAGAGAGAGAGAGAGAGAGAGAGAGAGAGTGTGTGTGTGTGTGTGTGTGTGTGTGTGTGTAG